TTTTTTTTTTTTTTTTTTTTTTGAGTTTATTGGTACATTCTAGGTATACAGTACAGGTACATTCGCACATGAGTTTTTAATGATATTTGTTTAACAAGATGTCTGTTAAGAACCCGACACTTGAGGGCAGGGGATTTAGCTCATTGGTTCAGTGGCCTGCCTTGCAAGCACAAGGACCCGAGTTCAATCCCCAGTACCAAAAAAACAAAAACAAAAAGAACCCTACACTTGTATTATCCTATCCCCTTTGCAGGCAGAAGAAAAGCTTTGGGAAGTATGCTAAAATGAAAGCTGCACAAAATTTTCCTTTTTACTGTTTACCTTAGCATCAGTCTGGCTACCCCCTTTCCAGAGCTCTAGATATATGCCACATTTGCCCTAGAGCAGACTTAGCAGCCACACATGCTACTTGGAATCATCAACTCACTGTAATTTAAAGGACATTCTAAGCCTGGTGACTAAGCCAAGTGAGGTTTGGTAGTACCATCTAATTGAAGCCTCAACCTGTTACATATCAGTTGGGATGTTAACTGGAACATTGCAAGTCCCTGCATTGCTAAGGTATACAGTACAGTGGTACCTTGATTTACGAACTCAATTCTTTGCCACCATTTTGGTTGCAGAGTGAACTGGACAAGAACCAAATCAAATTTCCCTGTAAGGTCAACATTGATTCTGACCATTGAATTTGATTCAATTTTCATCCAACTTGGTTAGCAACCAGAATGGTGGAAAGAATCAAATTGGTGAACCAAGGCACCACCTAAAGATATAAGAAGTTTTGCCCTGCTTACAGGTATTAGAAATGCCAGGCTTCCCTGGGGGCTACAGTGAGTGAAGAGGAATTGTATTGGGCTGCATATAAAATATATAATATAGTTAATGTAAGTAACAAATTTCATGTATAAATCTTAGTATTAACACAAGCATATCTATCCCTGAGACAAAAGTTGATCATATTTGAGACAATAGGAGTAATACAATAGTTATCTACATTACTAGATATATTTAAAGTAAAAATGTCCATGACTTTAAAAAAAAAGTTCCCATGATTTGTAGGGAAAAAAAATAATTGGAGGATATAACAAAAGAAGATATTTAGAAAAGGCTCAAAAGAGGTTTGAAGTATTGATTCAAAACATCCTTAGAGGAAGGCTTCTTTGTGGATTTATTGCTTTTCCTACAAGTAAAAAGTGGAAGCATGTACTTTTATTTAAAATTCAAAGATTTCCTACTTTTTCATTTTATGGCTTTTCTATCCTAAGGTGCTTCCCCTGTTTAGCTAATTGTTGGATTTAAGACTTAGGAAGAGGTCATGTATTATATCAGGTTTTTTCTTTCTGCAGTGTACCAATCTATTTTGCCAAAACTTTAATGAGACTTTAGCAAATCTTAAATACAGATAAAGGAAAATACTCAAAAGTATTTATTTCTTTCATAACTAAACATGTGTGAAGTTCTTCCTCCACTTCATACTTTCTGTATTTTTTATGACTCTTGCACTTATCCAAAAAATTCATGCTTTAAATTTGTCATCCACTAATAAGCATACTCTAGATATGTTGCATAACATTTGTTGCATAAACTAACATGTTCATATGACTTGTAGGATGGAAGAGCATAGAAAGTGTTCCAAAGTTGGTGTCTGAATATATGTCCAAAAAGATAAAAGTGGATGAATTTGTGACTGGCAATCTGTCCTTTGACCAAATTAATGAGGCCTTTGAACTGCTGCATTCAGGGAAGAGGTAAGTTTTCTCTTTAGTTACTTATTATTGAATATAATAGTGAGTTAGGGTTTATAAAAGAGGTGAAAAAAATACAATGGTAATAAAAGATGGTCATTCTAAAATCTATGTTTTGCTTTCTTCTCTTACAGCATTCGAACTGTTGTAAAGATTTAAATTGGAGAGGAAAAATATCTCCATCTGTACCCAAGTTTTGTGATTTGATAGGAGCAGCCTGACAGACATGGAGATCCTCCAAGTTTACAGCCCCCAAGACTTGCAGTTACTAGTCCAGGGAATCATGTTATATGTGTAGTTCATTCTTGTGTCAGTAATCAAGGACATCGCTTCTTCCAGTCACAGATCTCTAGACTGTACTTTTCACATAAGCATTTCAAGCTCATTATGAGGAATATTGGAATATAATAAAATAATTTCTTGGTGTGTTGTCATCTTTTTTATACTGTATTCATTTTCATGGTTCTTCTGCCCATTTTATTCAATCTGTAAAAGAAAGGTAGAAGAAATTAGGCAGTGTTCCTTGCTTTTTAAGCTTTTTCTGTTTTTTTTTTGTTTGTTTGTTTTGTTTTGGTAAGTAGATTGAACTTGGGACATTGCGCTTGTGAGGCAGGCAGAGGGAATCACTGAGCTAAGTCCCCGGCCCTCTCTTTGTTTTTATATGTGAGTTATACATGAGCAAAAATGGTATACATTCTCTGTTCTCCAGTATAAAAATGTGAAGCATTAAGATTTTAAAATAATGTCATTCCAATTCTTACAATTGGCCCATTTGAGTTTACTTTTCATTTCTGTCTCAGTTATGTACATACTCAGTTAACAATTATTTCTTGGCTAATTCTCTCTGAGAGATCCAGTATAAGGAATACATTTTCCAAGATCTTTAATATAAAGGATTCCTGAATCATAGGATTCAATTATAGGTGTAAAATTTAAAAGAAAATTAGTACATAATGGATAGAATCTAGGATGCTATGCATGCTGCTGAATCAAATAGTTCTTGCAATAAAGTACAGATAAGCACAGTGCTAAAAACTTCCCATATGCCTGTCAGTATATCTTGTTATAAATTAGAATTCTACGATTTTGAAGATTGTCAGAAAATTTTTAAAAGTCTTCAAACTTTTTTTTGGTACTGGGGATGGAACTCGGGTCCTTGTCTGAGGCAGGTGGTAGAATTCAAACTGCTTTCTTGGACAAAGTAACTTCAGTAGATTTTCAAATAGATATTGCCATATGAAAGATAGTATAATAGGTGTTTTTTTAATTTAAGGATCTAAATTTGCTTAGGAAATTTTCATTTGTTTAGCATTTTTCAAATCTTGACTACATTTCTGTTTTTAGCCTGGTGGGCTATTTTGTTTCCTATTTAACCTACCTATGGGATACTTAGTGTCTGTGGATACTTGTTACATGCACAAGAAACGATGAATGAGTTGATAGGGTGATTTGGGGTGGAAGTTCAGTGGAACTAGTTAATGTGTATATGTCTTGCACCAAAGGAAGATGGCATCAAAAAATATACACGGGGCCAGGGATTTAGCTCAGTGCCACTGCACCTGCCTTGCAAGCACAAGGTCCTAAGTTCAATCCCCAGTACCAAGAAAATATTAAAAAAATAATAATAAAATATATACATACACATACATACATATACACACACACACAGGGCTACTTCCATTTTATTTCAATGCAAAATAATATGTGGTAACTGGTTTGAGAAGGGAAACTCATTTTTACATGCACAATGACTGCTGGGCCATCAACCTGCCCAATAGGTTGATAAAAGTCTCAAGAACAACATTTACTTGGGCTGAAATACTGCTAACGCAGGAAAAAGACCAACTTTGGAGTTGACTAGCTTGGTTTTAGTTAGATGCAGGAAGACCAGATCCTGTGTCAGCAAATACTTTTTGAGGAAAAGTTCACCACAATACATTTGAAAAACTTTTAAACAGCCATTTTGATAATAAAACTCAACCAAAGTAGTTTATATTGATAACCCACAGGACATACACAGTTGGCTTTCATTATACAGGTTTCTTTTGGTAGGATTTTTATGGAAACAGCAGTAGATTGTGCCCATAAGCAGACTGTTAGTGTTGTACCCAGATCACAAAGACCACCAAGGAGTCAAGTCCAATGCAATTACATGAGTTTATTACAAGCTGGAGCCTGCACTCCCAGTGTCACTGCAGCGGCAATGAACTAGAAGCCCCGACCCACTTATTCAGCCTATTTTTATAGGGTTAGGGTGGCTTGAAATTCTTTCTATTGGCTTCTTTTCTAATATTCCAAATCTATTAGATGTTGCTAGGGCACTTGCAAGAGCGGGGAAGATTACCTTAGGCCAGGGAGGGGCCAGTTCAGGGAGAGGTAAGTGCACCCAGGAATGTGGTGAGTTTCTCTTATCTGTACAGAACCTTCTGTCCTCCTTCTTTGAGGTTAGAATTACTTTTCTCCCACCCATTTGTCTTGGCAACCAAGTAAACTAAGCAAATTCCTGCTGCTTGAGTTCATCTGGGGGTCTGGCCTGACTCCAGATGGCTTTTTAGTTTAAAATGGAGTCAGTTAGGCTAAGGGGTCTTGGGACCAGATTTTTAGGGTCCCACATTAGCAAAACTAGACACTGAATAGAATTTCATGTGTAAGGCGTAAATACATGTGGTAAAAGGAAAGAAAGCCTGAGCAGTGCTGAGAGTCCCCCAGCAGAGTAGGTCATTGTGCTTTAGGACTGTCTACTGGCTGCAGACTGGGAAAGAACCAGGGACACCTTTCAGACTCGCAGTGACCTTTGAGGATGTGGCTGTGACCTTTAAGAAGGAGTGGGTTGTGATGGATCCATCCCAAAATAAGCTCTCCAGAGATACAATCTGGGAAAACATTAGAAATGTGGCTGCTATAGGAAGAAACTGGGATGACCAGCCAATTAAACGAGTACAACAATTACAGGAAAACCCCAAGAGTCAGCTGGTTTCACTACCTTTGAGCCTGTGAGAATGGAACATTATTGTGGAAGAGCATGGTGGAAGAAAGCTACTCACTCCATGGGATTCAAGAAGAAAACATGGAAAAGACGAGGGAAAGGCTGGGGATGAGATAGATATCTTCACCAAGGTAATAATAGTCCCAAGATTCACTCGCTTCAGGTATGCTCCACTTCCTCTTCCCATCACCCCACAATAATGCCATCAAGAGCTCATAAATGTACTTTTAAAACAATAATTGAGGTGAATAGCAGAGTTTGAAAAACATGCTGATTTAATAGTACAGGAGGAATACTCGAAGCACTCAATGAAAAATGATTTCATGAGCATAGCTTAGGGGTTGTCTGTTACCCACAAAATTAGCACAATCCATTTGGTTTTTCAGTTTTCACTTCAATACAGTTTGACTTCAGCACATTATAGGAATTAACACAATTATTTTATTAAAAAACAAGTATGTTTGCTTAAAGAGAGCTTGGCTTGATGGCCTGTAAGGCCTAAAATCTCACTTCCACTCCACGGAACGTGAACAGCTGAAAAGGCCTCCACAATGCTGGGTCCTAAAACCCCGCGAGGCTCCAGGAGCTCGACAGAGGACCGAGAAACCCAGGAACACATCAGGCTAGATGGTAAACAGACCTTCATTAGTCAGGCCAGACAGCACTCCCGGAGCCAGGTAACTCTGAGAGGCAACTGCTCAGGGGCTGAGGTCCTTTTTATAGGGTTTTTCTAAACAAAAAGTTCAAACATAGGTCGGGGCATTCACAGAACTAGCAGAGGACCAAGACTTCAAACACATTGCTTATCTTATGCAGGAAATGTTCTATGGTCACCTTTTGTCATACCATTTGCCCCAGGGTGGGCTGTTAGCCAAGTTATCAGTCAGCATATGAAGAAGCACAGTCTCTGGCCTATTAGCATGGAGTCCCTTTAGCTTATTTAAATCTTACAGGCCCATGCCTATAATCCCACTTGGAGGAGTACAGCACTCAGGAGACTGGGGCAGAAGTATCTGCAAGTTTGAGGCCAGCATGGGCTACATAAATTTGAAGCCAGTCTGAACTACATAGCCAGACCCTATCTCTCAAAAAATAAAAATGAGAATTCACCATAGAATCACCTCCATTTTAAAATGTGTATTGAAATACTCTTGACTGCCAAAAATATCAACATGTCACTATAAAAAACAGAAATGTTTTAAAATATGTTGATCTCTTTATTCTACATTTCAATAGTGAAGTCCTTTTCCTTGGCTTTGTCTCAGAATCACTCAGTACTCAAGTGCCCTGATTAGCTTTGACAGCTTAAATTGTCTGGCACCCTGACCCAACTACTGAAATAAAACAACTGTTTTATAGTCACATTATATGCAAACTATTGCTAAGTTGTGGTATACAATGCACAAAGAGCTCTCTACAGAGAATCGTGGGACACAATGCATGGTTAGCACTGAACACCTTGCTATGACAAAAAGCAAGGACTCTAAGTTCAAAATGACCTGTAAAACAGCTTAAAGGTGCTGGCCACATTTGGTACATTTACAGTAATTAAATCCAAATTTACAAAATCTATCCCATAGAGTACTTAAAGGAGAAAAGTACTCTGTAGAAGAATGTCAGCTAATATAGATAGGATACTAGACAGACATCCCCACTTACAGTCACAAACAGAAATACAGGGAGTCATCGGTGATGCTAAAATCATTAAGTGAACAGGACATCCAAGTAGCCTCTGATTATTTCCTCTGAAATTAGTTAAGAAAAAAAGATGCTGTTACAATTAGGAAGACCTGAGGGATACCAAGTGATCAAACATCCTTGGCAATAATATGACAAGAGCATGGGCCTCCTAGGATGCAGTGGTACATACAACAGGTCATCAGTACAGTCTTGTCAAAGGGTTTATACCGAGCCTAACCTCTAGCCTTGTAACAAACTTACAAACCAACTGGCCTGATTTTCAAGTATCAATTTCATAGAAGTAGGCTTTTTTGTTTCATTTAAAGTAAACTACAGACACATAATCAAATGCCTTGAGTTTGTAAGCCTTGAATAAGCTAAAGTGACTCCATGCTAATAGGCCAGACTGTGCTGCTTCATATGCTAATTGCTAATTTGGCTAACAGCAATCCCAAAGAAAGTGCTGATTTGGATAAGACACGAAACAAAGATTGCAAAATAACTGTTGAATATAGGTAAGTGATACATATTATCTGTACTGTACTTTCAACTTTATTATAAATTTGAAAATTTTCCAAAAAGTGGAAGTAAAAACTATTTTTAAAGGAAGAAATAGATGAAATACATTATGTTCCTGTGGAGGGTTCAAGAAGTAAAACCGTGCTATGAATTTAAACCAAACTCAATGAAAAACCAAAAGTGGTTAAAGGACAAACTGAGGAATCAAACTAAAATGGCTAACTAGTGAAATCTCCTTTTACCTATTTAGACGTGTATCTCTCAAGTAGAAGTGTCGGTGAAGGGGTTCCAACTCCATTAATCTATTTTACCAGCAAAGACACAGAACAAAGGGCAAATTTCCCTTCTTTTAAATTATTCCAAGAGGGTTAGAGAAGTGGCAGAGAAAAAAAATTGTATTACAAGTTAATCTTAAGTATATGCACAGATTGCTTTGTAAAAAGCTGCTCCTAAATCTAATAAATATGTTATAGTTTAGACCTAAAATGCCCACCAAAATTCTGTGTTCAGAGTTGGGGCTTTTGGAAGGTGAGTGGATCGTGGACACACGCACTGGGTTAATTCACTGATACGTTCATAGCTCAGCAGAGTGCTATTCGGAGGTGGGGGCCTGACTGGAAAAGGTGGGCCCATGGGGGCACAACCTAGACGGGCATATTTGTTTTCAGCCCCTCTCTCCTCTCTCTGCTTCCTGGCTGCCATTTCTGCCTTAGAGCCAGCCAGCTACAGAGTTGAAAGGGGTCACGCGTGCCCCTTCGGGCGCCCCCTCCCAATCAGGTCACTCATGCACTGAGAGGTCTGGCAGGAGATCTTTATTGAAGGGAATCAGGTGAGGCACAAAGGCTGGGAGGTGAAGAAAGGGAGGAGGAGTCCCAAGGGAAGGAGTGTTGGCTCATTTATAGGGTCTTGGGTGGGAGTTTTGCAATTTAGGGGGAATAAGCTGCTTTTTAACCTATTGCAGGCTACATTGCCTTATAAGGTCTTAGTCCTGCAGAAGTCCCTTATCAGATGTTGGCGTCATTTCTCGGAAGAATTCAACTCAGGGAGGAAAACGAAACTTAAATTGGGAAGAACCCGGAAGTCAGGTATAAAATGGGGGAGTTTAAAGTAATATGTACAATTTCCTAACATTCCCCACTCTTTGATTTTGGATGACGACCAGCAGCCAACAAGTCCATCAGCAGATGGAAAAGGGGCAGAGTGTCTGTCTTCTGTAACTACTTCCTGCGGAATTGGGGCGACGAGTCAATCCAAGGGCAGGGGTTAGCCTGATGTCTAGTTGGCTGTGCTGTCATTGTGTGAGATGAACTGAAGGTCATTGAAATTTTACCTGTAAGATAAAATCTTAAACACACAGGTTGGTCAGTGAAGAAGGGAACTGAGGCAGGGTCTTAATCGAGGGGAGAGTCCAGAAACTGTGGTGAATCATTTTAGAAATAATGAAAAGTAAAAGGAAAGTGAAAATCTCTATTTCAGCTGGCGTGAACTGACAAAGGGATCCCTGGAGCCAGGCCTCAGAGACCCAACTGGTTATCTGTAGGACCGGACAAGGGTGTGGAGCCATCCAACATAGATAGGAGAGCAGATCTTCTAGGAACTCTCTGAACCTGGTGAAGATCCAGATGGACGGTTGGTTCTGGAGGGTGGCTTCCATATGAAGGAAGTTTCGACAGTGTTCGGGTTTTGTGTTCTTGGTATCAGCAGATGAGCTATTTGTGTGGAGACCTGGTTAGTGTCCCTGTCTTCAGCAGGGACGTGTTGGTACTGTTGATGGAGTACCATGAGTCTGACTGCACTTATTCTCTGTTGAATGAAAGCAGTCAGTCTGTTAATTATGCAGGGTCCCACTATCAATAGAATTAAGATCAGAATTAAAGGACCAGCCAAAGCCGACAGTAGTGATGTGAGCCAAGGAGATGAGGTAAACCAGTTTTCATACCATCCCTGAGATTGTGTCCTTTCTTTTTTCCATTTTTTAGGCCTTCTCTGACCTTGGCCATGGAGTCTGTTACAATTCCAGAGTGATCAGTATAATAACATTTTTCTCCTAGAGCAGCACACATCTTAAACCCAAATATCAGGGACCATTTACAGTAGTTCTATCCACTCCAACTGCAGTAAAACTAAAGTCTCTCCACGGCTGGTTTCACTGTTCTCGACTTAAGCCTTTTTTACCTGCTTCTTCCCCTCCCGACCTTTCAACAGATTCCTCTTCAGCATACTCAACAACCCATATGGGACCTCTCAAGATAAAACTCACTAAAATTGCAGAAGAAACACCTGACCTAGATTTGGGTACACGAGAGATCTCCAGCACCCAAAATACCTAAGTGCTTCCATGGGATATTGTAAAGTATTCACCATTACATCCCTGTTCAATGTGTTAAGCTTTCTCCTGGTAGTTCTCAGTGGAATACTCCTGGGATAGGCTTAGCTTCTGCAGCTCCTTCAGATTTTACATTAAGACATAGAATAATATTGATGCTAGCTTATTACTTATCAGTGTGTTTGCCTTCCTTGCCTGCTTAAAATAGGTTAAGATTTATATAGAAATGGAAAAGAGACCCCATAGATATGTATCTATGATTGCTATGTTTCATTCTATTATGATTTGCCTGTCTGAAAAGTTAAGTCCTCATCAATCTGTAAAAGTTACTTGGATGATAATTAATCCCTCAACTGGTAAAATAATAAGTTCAGCGTCTAAATGGACTCCCCCAACCATTTGGTGGCCATCTTTTGAATTCGATTTGTGTGATATGGCCCTAGGAAACACATGGGATGCAGCTGATTGGGAATACGAGTCAGAGGGTGTGCCCAGGTGCAGAGGGCACTGTAATTGGGACTATAATGAAGGACCAGGATGTGCTCATAAATATTCCAGATCAAAGCTCTTAGATCAGCCCATATATGTTTGCCCAAAACATATAAAAGGTAAAACAGGCTGTGGGGGACAAAGTGATTTTTATTTTAAGACATGGGGTTGCGAATCATCCAGCACCATACCGGGACACTTGGCTGGTATAAAAACAGATTTTATATCAGTCACTCAAAAGCCTCAAACGCTCAATAAAATAGGATCTGTCCATTATTCACAACATTATCATTATTCACAATGCAACAAGTTCCGATGCAACCCCATATTAATATCCTTCACCAACTTGGGAAAACAGGTACCCTTAGAAGAATGGAAAATAGGAAAACAATGGGGACTAAGAATATACACAAAAGGCTATGACCAAGGACTCCTATTTGGCGAGAGTGAACACACTAAAACTGTTATCCAAGAGCCGGGCATGTGGCGCATGCCTGTAATCCCAGCACTTGGGAGGCTGAGGCAGGAGGATCACTGTTAGTTCGAGACCAGCCTGGGATACATAGTGAGTTCCAGGTCAGTCTCAACTACGTAGTGAGACCCTATCTCAAAAAAATAAACAAAAAACTGTTATCCAAGCTAAACCACTTTTCCTTTAAGTTGTAGTTGTCAGCTATTTTGTCCCAGTAATTAAACAGTAACTAATACAATTTATAATTTGGTAGACTAGGGCCCATATTGTTTAAAAATCTTCCAAACTCAAAAGGCATTATTACAGTGTAATGTTGTATTTTTTACCATGAAACCATCCTATCAAGATATTTTCTTTGACCTTATGTTCTAATAATAGACAATGAATAAGCCCACAACTGTTAATTTCACTATTACAATATAAAATGTTCCCCTAAATATTCAATGTTCTCAGTATTAAAAGCTCTGAAAAATATGGCTAAATTTCAGATGTTGCTGACAGATTAAGTGCAATACTATAATTATGGTGTGGTCACTCCTGAAAAATTATTTGTGCTCAAATGATTTCGAGTTTGTTTTTGATTATGAAATTAGCCTCTCTGTTTCCACCAATTCCCTCTGATACCAAATAAAATGAAGCAAAGTTAATGAATACATGGTAGAATAATTATTTAAACTTTTTAATCTCCCTTTACACATTATATTAACATTCATATTACAAGGCATTCCATTTCACAAATATTACAGTTTGATAAAAACTTTACACACATATTCCCGAAAGTCTATACCAGATTTAGTCACTTTACTAAATCATTAAAATAATAAAAATAATGAAAACATTATCATAATTCTCTTAAAGCAGTAAGGTCTGAGGCACTCTGGGAAAGATTTTCTTTTACAAGTATAATGTTCAGTGGTATCAAATTACAAGAGTCATCCAATACCCAGTAATCAAGTACACCAATTAATCTACTGACAATGACTTAATGATCCATCTTGTCTTCAGTGAACAACTGCTGAAATAAATGAATACTGGGCAACCATAACTATTTCTAATGTGGCTCTCCATTATGAATAGGTGCTATGTATTTTCAGCACACCACAGACAGCAAGCAGTATTCCTACTGCAAGGTTAGTACTCAAGAAAGTCCCTTCCTCATCACTATTAGGTTTATCAAAACTCTCATGGCCCCCTGATTTTCTGTGTTCACAGCAAAAAACATTTCAGTACTCTTTCCCCATCATCCTTCACAGTGCAATCTCCACCATTTCTCAGTGTTTCAAGGGTATGCCTTTGAAATAAAAAAAAGAGGGGAAGTAAGAGGGCTTTTCCCCTCTGATTTCTGACCAAATAAAAGTCTGATATAGCAGTGCACTACAAATTTCTTATGCCTTGCAACAGTCAGCCACCATCTGGAGCATAGCTATTTTTGCCATGAACTAGACTTTAAAAAGCTTGATATGCTTCTGAACTCAATTTTACCACATTTATCTTAAGTCACTATAAACTATGGATCCATTTATTACAGCAAGTAAAACTGTCAGAGTAGAATTAACCTCAACCAAAGGTCACATAGTGTTCGTAATTATGTATATGGAATTTAAAATGTGTGTGTGTGTGTGTGTGTGTGTGTGTGTGTGTGTGTGTGTGTTTCCACATATATATAAAATAAAAAAATTGGAGCAACAGATGTTGCTAGAGTTTCAAGGATTTTCATCTTCAACATTCACTGGAAAACAGCTGGCTCTTGATGGCCGGTCTGTGGCAGTGACAATGGCAACTAGAAGCGGATTTAAATAAAAGTGCTCAAGGGTAAAATGAGAAAAGAGTTGTTCAGAGAACAAGAGTTAGGGCAAATATTGAAAGGAGTTGAATGTTTCTTTTATTCTTCTCAGCTTTTTCAGACTCAAGACAAGCTCTTGAGTATTCACATCAAACGCTGTAGAACATTCTTTTCTAAAGTCAAAACAAGTGATACAAAAATTGCCTCTTCCTTTCTGTACTCTCAGTAAAATCCATAGTACAGTAAGAAGATATTTTTGAGATGTGCCATCTTGGGAAAAATTAAAATTGGGTCATGAAGTGAGGCCGTGTACTATCAAGTCTCCGGGTCAGGATTTCACAGCCAGTGTCTGTTACCAGCAGAGTATGCTCAAACTGAGCAGAACGCTTTCCATCTCTCGTCACTGCAGTCCAACCATCTGGCCAAGTTTCATCCTGCCATCCACCTGAAACAAAACGAGTCTCAATTTCATCACTCGGTTTGCTAAAACTCTCTAGGTAAACACACATCAAGAAGAAAACCAATTAGAAAATTGACTATTAAGATCCCTATCAATCCTTTAACTGTTTTAGTTAAAGCCTTAACAAATTCCAGTTTAAGTCTTTAGTACTAACAAAGGAATGATGATGTTTCCAATTCCTCAGGTGCAATACAATTTCACATTTTTTTATATTTCCCAAGAATCAAGTAACAATGGTTTTTTGTTTTGTTTTGTTTTTCGTTTTGGGTACTGGAGATCAAACTTGTGACGAGGCAGGTGGAGCACCACTGAGCTAAATCCCTGGTCCCTTAACTATGGTATTTTAAAATAAAGGCACTGGACTTTATTTTAGAAAACACAGTAACACTACCCATCATAGAACCATGAGTAAAAAGTTTTTTATTAATTTAGATTTTTTTCTGATATAATTTTGGCATCTGACTAAACTATAGCCAGTGTTTGTAAGAAGGATACCAGGTAAACTTTTATACCTATTTTTTTTGCGGTTCCAGGGATCGAACTCAGGACCTTGTGCTTGCAAGACAGGCACAGTGCCAGTGAGCTAAATCCCTGCCCTTTCATATTTTTGCTGTAACACATAATTCCTGATAAGATTTTTAATGGAAGGCACACAGACAGATGGTAACAGATTGTACTGTGAAATTTTTATAGACCATACCCCCATAACCAGAAAGACAGGCAAAGAGGAAAAAAAAAGGATTGCTAAAAGGATTAGAAAAATGAGATAATCCACAATGAATTAAAAAGGAACTGAAACTAGAGAAGAGTGAAGGTACAGTGAAAAGCTGGAAGATGAAAAAAGAAAACTTAAGAGATACATGACGGGAAAGCAGAAAGATAAAACCAAAAAGAATGTGAGGCAGAAGTGGAATGAGAGAGGTGGTTCTGAATACTACTATAAATATGTATTTACAGAGGCTTTACTTCAAAATTAAGATGTCAAAAATCAATATATTTATTTTAAGTTATCTTTAATTGAAATATATCTCTTTGACCCCTCACTGACTCAGACAAATCCCAGAACATACTCAGTTGTCATATGTAATCTAATGTCACAATATTGTATCTCAGGCTAAAAAGAATATTTGAAGCAGCTCAAGAGAAGTTAACTCATGCTTTGTCTAACTCTTAAAAGATAAAAAAACAGGTTATTTTTCAATGTAATAATCTTTACCCAAATGGACTTAAGACATATTATTGTTTTGTGATTTAATAAAAACAGGCTCTGTAGTAATGTCAAATTAAACATGCTTGGCTACTACTCTGAGGAAATTTGAAACTTTCTATTCCAGAGCTGGAATTTAACTTAATTGAGTTATATTCAAATATATCTGTTATAATTTAATTATCTGAACCAATTCATTAGAAAGGTATTTGCTTACTTCTAGAGATACTATATTATGTCTCACCAATCATACATGCCAGTTAATGAAAGTGTGCAACTTAACAACACGCTCTTCCCACTACCTTTCTTTCCACTGTTACCATGCCTCACAACTGGATACTTTTGATCAGAATTTTCTTATACTGCAGTGATAAGAGAAACATTACATTTGACCTTAAAATAAAGTACAGTGAGCTCCTTGAGTTACAAACTCAATTCATTCCTGGGGGCTGGTTGTAACTCAAATTAGTCATCTGAAGGCTCAGGCCTACACAGCCTTCAAAATCTGAGTTCAGGCAGCTCTCAAGTGTCTTTAGAGAGACACTGGTCCAGGATTTCTCATCCTCACTCAGGAAAGTATGTTGAAATGTTTTTCCAGAACTCTTTAAGAGTTAAATCTGTATCTGAGAACATCTGGAAGCACAAGCAGCTGGCATTTAGGTTATAACTCAAGACTGGTTGTAAGTTAAAACTAAATTCCAGACATAACCCAAGTTGTTCATATGTCAAGCCAGTCTTAACTCAAGGGTCACTGTACTTTATATTAATATCAACTCAGTTCTTACAGCAGCCCTCAGATGCTGACTAGATAAGGATTACAGTTTTCATTTTACAGAAAAGGTAATATGAGTCTACAGTCATACCACCCCAAATGCGTCTGATCTCATCTATCTCGGAAGCAGGGTCAGTCCTGGTCAGTACTTTGATCAGGTTAGGAATGCCTCCTGTGATCCCCCATCTCCTGGTATCTTGACTTTGTTTGGTCCACTCTTCCCAAGTATGGGCTAGATTTAGTGACTCAATTCTAAGGAAGAGAACATGGAAATAACTCTCAGGATTAGGCAACCAAAAGACTGGGAGGACCAAGAGAAGAGGTATCCTTTTATACAGGGCTCCAGACACACTGGCCCTATCATGAATGAGTCATTTTGTATCATATAAACCCAACAAAGAACTACCAGAGAACAGCCCAACTATTACCTGACCATCACTCTGACAGCTCAGTGATGAGTGCTGGTCCTAACACTAAGCCATATGCCTGTCACAGAGAACCCCAAAAGTGTGGACAGCTATAGCTAAGTTTGTCAAGGTTGCGCTTTCTCCACAATTCTGTGTAATGCTGTAAGGACAACATGAGGGTAAACTCTGCAGAGAGGGCAGCTCATAAGTTGAGAATCTAACAAATTCTGCCACATAAACAAGCTAACCTCTGAAACAATCAGATTGCTCTATGTAATGAGGATAATATTTTCTTTATAATCTGAACAGATTTAAATCATATAACCATGTCTGCTTCAAAGTGGATAGCTCAAGAAATACTCTCCTTTGTGCCTTCTCTTTCCCCTCCTAGGTCAAGCAAAAATATACAGACTTGACATAGGTTCCTAATTATTTGATCTTCATGAAGAGGGATCAGGATTCAATTATTTCAGCACCTACTAGACAACAAAAGAATTACCATGTAGAAAATATCACCTTGTTGTCAACATTTAACAATGTCCAATTCTCGGACCAGGGATTTAGCTCAGTGGTTCTGTCACCTGCCTTGCAAGTGTAAGGACCCAAGTTCGATCCCTGGTACCAAAAAAAACAATATCCAATTCTCTACATTTAAGTTCAAGAAACAAGTTCAAGATGGGATAGGAAACAGGAATAAAGAAAGCAAGCACAACAGACTACTGATCTGATGAGTAACTGAAAATAAATAAAACTTCAATTAAAGAAAATTACAGCATGTATTCTCACCTTCACAAATCATTGGCTCAATTGTAAATACATGGCCTGACTTCATCACTCCAACAGCTTTATTTTCTGAAATTAAAGGAAAAAAAAAACCTCTCAAAAGATAGCAAACATTGAGTGCCCTGTTGAACAGTTCAAAAGAGTATATATGTATATTCCCATCGGGGACTCTATTACTTTCTCCTCTGCTGATTAAAGTTACATCATTCAACAAGGAGTAGTCAATAATCAGCTACACTGAAGCAGAGTTGTTACTCTAGGCATATTTCATTCTACTTATATTTTCTACATTATAATACACATACATCCATTAGTTGGATTTCTAGTTATGATTATTACTTCCATAAAAGAGAATTCTAAAAATTTAGCACTACAGATTAGAAATGTAATCACAGAAACAAGCTAAGTACTCTCATCCATGTTTAAAAGAGGTTTTAATGACAAGTGTTTTGACTTATGCCTTACATTTCCTACTTTTTTGGAGGTAAGAAGAGTATGTCTCTATGTAGGGTCACGACTTATAAAAGAAGCAATTACTATATCTGATTTTCATTCTTTTATAAAAATTGTTTTTTTCCTCATCTTACAATGAGGACAAAGTTTTTTGCAAAGTAGTCAGCCTTTTTTAAAAAAATATCGAAAGAGACATTCCATTTCTTCCTTCAAGTGCTACTATGGTTTTCTGCTGTGTCTGAGTTTGAGAATTTTTTGTTTTTTGCTTCTGCTCCAAGTTTACTAATAATAGTATTAGAGAAACACAATTATGAATTAAACTGTCTAGACTTGCAAGTCTTCTAAAAAAGGCCCAAGAACTTAAAAAACAGAGATAGCCGCTTTTTAGACAATCTATGACAAAAGTGGAAAATGTGTTTAAATTTCAAATTAAAATACAAGAATTGATAAAGCTCTCACATAAATGAGTAACTAGCATTTATGCAGCCTGACCACCAGATGGCACTGGCCTTTTGGGTTCATTTTCCTCCATAAGGCTGTGAGCCACAAGTCGCACAGCAAATATATCTACTGAACTCAACCACTAAGGCCACTCTTTCTAGGTATGGTCTAACTTCACCTACAGGCTTACATCTTTGTACCTGTCCTGGTGAACAGCAGCTATGCTGCTTTCCAAAACACACAGCAGATTCCAAATTTCCAAATTTGTATAAAACCTTTAAAGCAGTAGAGCGAACAATCTAACTAGATTTTTCATTTCTAATCTCACAAACTTTGGCAAAATAACAAACAACTTACTACATACACAGCAGTGGTATATATTCCCAAGAAGATAATAACAACAACAGAACAAAAAATAGCCAACAGTGTCTGCACTACAGAAAGAAAACAAAGGAGAAAGGAATCTACAGCCAAGACATTCCATCCTGCAGCACTTGCCATGTGCTGCTACCAAGCACTTGAAAAGTGGCTAGTCAGAAAAGGGTGGGCTGTCCATGTAAAAGAGGGCAAATTCCAAAATCTGAAGCAGAATGTAATTTTATGCTCATTAGCCACTGAAACAGTATTTTGGGTATAATATGTTAAATATAATATTAAAATAAATTTCATCCATACTTTCAAATTTATAACATGGAAACTTGTAAATTGCCTATGTTCCTCATAATTCTTTCCACTGGACAGTGCTGATACATGTTTCGCTCCTGTTTCTGTTTCTGATTCATTATCCAATAAAAATTACAACTCCTACTCATTTCCTAGAGTCTGAAAGTTTCTGTTTCTCAACCTATGTCACTCAACAAATATAGTACATAATATCTGAGGACTATACTATTACAAATAGAATGCTAGGTACTAAAAAAAAGTTGTACCTGCTGTCTCATCTATCTCAGAAATACTGTAATCTATCTTGTAAATGCAGGGTTAATTATCATTATTTTCCAATAATTAATGATTGAAATAAAGAAACAAGTACAGCTGGGGATTTAGTTCAATGGTGCCACTGCCTGCCTCACATGCAAGCGTAAGATCCCAAGTTTGATCCCCAGTACCAAAAAATTAAAATTAAAAAAAGAAACAAGTACATTCACCTATCAAAGACCCTTTTCACATTAGAAGGGGTAGAGGGAAGTTATGCAACATTTTCCTGATCCTCTCTCATTTGGGTTAAGAATATAAAGTTACAAGCCAAAGCAGAAATTAACATTTCAAAAGGCATCTTTACTATACAAAATAAAAAGAATAAACCTCTTCGCAGTTTTCTTTCACATTTCCCTAAGTAATCAGGTTTTGACTTACATATAGCCAATTGACACTTTTCATAAATATATCAATGTATAGGATGAAGTGTACCTAGTCCTTGCTTCTTTCTTCAGCACCATAGTTCACCTGTAATTAAATGCTTTAGTGATGCTTTGTGATGTCACTATGATGGATCCATATCTCCTTTTCCATAAACCTTATTGTCTTATAATGTTTCTCTCTGTCTCTGTCTATCTCATCTATACCCAAATCCAAGTTTTGTTGCCTCTGTATGTTTAAAGGATGTTTTTCATTCTTCCCCTACACATTCTCTTACACATTCATACATAGGAATCAGAATAGCTACTTCTGCCACTTGTTGTCCTAGCACTTGGGAAGTTGAGACAGAAGAATCACAATGAGTTCAAGGCCAGTCCAGCCTGAACTATATAGCAAGATCCTGCCTCAAAAAGCCAAAAAATAAAAAAGGAGGGAGGGTAGGATAGCAACTTCCATTTGTGAAAAGGAATGTACATTCAGATGATTACAGAAACCAACAGGTGTTACTTGACTTTTGTTGTTTTTATTTCAAGCATAATTCACAGAATGACAGGGTCTCTAAGAAATGCTTATCAATATACATTAGATGCATTGTTTCTCCTCTCCAGAGGTTTCTTTCTCACTCTCTTGACTTTCTCCTCAACTATCAAAGTTCAGAATTTCACCACTCCACACCTGGACTACAAGAAGTAATTGAGAATCTTGCTATCTTGAATAGTATTCATGTGCAAGACATCTTAGACACACCATCAAAATACAAGCTTCGTCATTCTATTTTGCCCCAAAATGTTTCTTACAATGTGGACAGATGAAGTCAGCTTCCTTAGTCTGGCGCTCCACATGCCCAGCCCTGCCCACTGCCTATTGCTAGTACTCAAAATGCAGCACTCAGCCAAACTTGTCTCTGTTGGGTCTCAACTTGAAGCACTTATTCAGACTTCCTCCACAAAGAATGCCACCTCAACCACGCTTTAGTCTTACTCTAAGGTCCAGTGCTCAACTGCTTCTGGCCTTACTGCAAAAAGAAGCTTGAACTACAGGATAAATTGACTGACTCCACACAGACAGAACCCAGGTGTCTTCATTACTGTTCTCGTTGCTGAGACAAAATACCTGACACTCATAAATTAAAGGAGGAAAGGTCTAGTTCAGCTCACAGTTTGTAGAGCTTTCAGTCCATGTTAGCTGGCTCCAAGGCAGGGCAGCCAGGCAGAGGGGAATCACAAAAGAGAAAGAGTCCATGCTATAGCAGGCAGGAAGCAACAAGCAGCAAGCTCTTCTTTCCATGTCTTTATATTCCTCCCATGATATAAGACTACTGACTACTGCCACTCACACCCAGGGTGGGGCTTCCATTATCCACACCCAGAGCTATGCTAAACTAGTTATCACACACCATTAATCCATATTTACCCAACCTAGATCAAACCACTCTGAAAAGTCCCACCTATTAGTACAACATGAGGCTTTGGGGAGACATCTAGATACTCATCTTAATAGCAGGTTATCAGTGGGATACCTGGGATTTATTTACTAGGATGTGTGAATTTGAGTACAGCAGACTCTGCTTTCAGAGAGGGCTGAGAAATTGTTCAGAGTTGTGATAATCAATTAAAATCAAATTACATACATTCTTCATTTAACAATCGAGCTCTGTTCCTGCTTGATACATGAAATGGTCGCTAAATGAGGACTTATATACAATATGTACAATATTCAGAACAAAGAAATGGTCACAAGAAACTCCACTTGATGACTTTGCTTTTATTTTCATTACTCTTACATATAGTACTGTAATGTATGGCAGAACATAAAACTAGAGTACTGTATTATATAGTACAAAAAGCAAAAATTACAGTACTATTCCTGTAGAAGCCAACATAAGGCCACACTGCCACTCACATTACCGTGTAGTAAGTTTGAGTGTATGTCATAAGCCTGAGTGGTGGGTTTTAAATCCAAATAGCAATTAAATTGGTGGATCATCAAAGCAGGAACATCTGTATCCAGAGTTGTGATACATAAATGTGAACATGAGGTGCTTTCCATGTACTGTAAGTCACATAGAGTTCTAAATGCTTTCCATGTATCACGTCACTTAACCCTAATAACAGTTCATTACATAGCACCACCTCCTACTGTATAAATGAGGAAGCACAGGAATTACTGGCCAGAACATGTCAGCAGCTGTCTTGGCTTTTGGGTTCAGATACCCATCCACAACAAAGAATGTAAGAAAAGGCCACAAAAATGGGGGAAAAATTATTTACAATTTGGGTAAATTAAAACAGCATGTACCAAGCCTTACTTCAAAAGCATAAAAACATTCCAATTTATAGAAGGAGTAGAACAAAAGCCAAGAAATATCCATATGCAGATTCAATGGAGAGCTGAAGTGCTAAATCCTCCTTGGCATGGAGGGTTGGCGGGGGGGGGGTTACACTCAGCATTAGGAAGCTTGGAAAATGTTTATCTTTTTTAAAAATACCAGTTTTAAAAGATTCATTTTAACCTCCCAGTTACACATGATATCCATGAGAATGTTTACATGGAAACAACTTTCTCCATATAGGGAGATGGACAGATAGATGGACAGACAGGCGGGCAGGCAGATGTGCTACCTTCTTAGATCACTTACATTGGATCGGTTCACTTACAGCACTAAATACAGAGTCATTCCTGCACATGTCTAATCTCTACACAGAAAAAAGGTTTCTAGAAGACCTGTCTTATACTTCGTTCGTCCATCATACCATTCTGAACTTAAGGAACAATACTTTGTCTGGTCCCCTTTATTTGTATCAATAAACAGTACAGCACCTCACACACATTAAGAACCCACAGAAAATCATGTTTTACACCAAAGCAATCAGAACAGTGATAGCTAGACCTGTGGCAGACTGTTGACTTTCACTTTTCTTGAGGATACTCAGGTAGATAACATCCCCAACCCTATTGCAGTAGATATAATCATGTCAGAGTTCCTGCCAATGAAAAACAAATGCAAACAACTCATGCCAACTCCAGGAGGGCTCACTACAAATACCCCAAATACACCCTTTCCAAGGTTTTTTCCTTCCTCTTGCACTACATACAGTCTGACGATGAGGTCAGCTCCCAAAGTGCCCTGGAAAGCCATAAGTTGAAGGTGACAGAGCCTGGGCCATATTTCCAGTGACTTGCCTTGGATTGTCATGTGAGCAATACCTGAACTTGTGTTTGAACAAAGGTATATTTTGGGGACCTATTTGTTGTAAGTAATAGATTAATGAATATAAAATAGTAGGTCTTATTAAATGTTTGAATAAATATTTATTGAATAAATTTATTGAATAGCATGTACCAAATCTTTGGTTAGTACTTACTGGCATAGTGGGGTACATTAGGAGCTGTATGAAAAAGCTTATGAATTCCATGCCCACAATAACTTCGTACAACTGAAAATCCATTTGCTTGAGCATGCTTCTGAATAATGTTTCCCAATTCTCTGTATCGAACACCAGGTTTCACTAAAAGAAAAAGAAGCAATTCATGACAAAGAGTAATAAATGACACTAAGAAATTAATATCTATGTCAAGAACCTTTATAAGTACTTTATGTCTTCATGCCTAAATTTACAGATGAGGAGACAAACCACAAAGAGGTTACACAGCCAGTAAATGGTGAAGGTCTAACTCAAAGCAGAAGTGCGTCAATTCTTCCTTTAACGCCAGAAGAGGAGGACACCTTGCAATATTATGGGAATGGAGACAAGCAACTTTTGCTTTCTCTAGAAACAGACATCAAATAGAAGGAAATATATATTGCTCTTTATGTTCTTCTCTAAAGTCAATATTCTATTCTATTCTGTTCTGTTCTATTCTACTGAACAGAAGAATTAAGAGAGGAAAGTGTACCAGGAGAAAAGGAATGTCCAAAAAGTAACCTGACTTGGTTCAAATTGCAGGGTGGTCTACTTCTGAAAAAATCACTTCCCCTGGGCTTTTTTTTTTTTTTTTTTGTACCAGGGATCAAACTCGGGTCCTTCTGCTTGCGAGGCAAGCGGCGGAACCACAGAGCTAAATTCCCAGCCCTCCCCTGGGCTTCTTTGTCCCCATAAAAATGGTTCTCTATTCGTAATTGTCTCTGCAACAGGTCCTACAGCACAGAAAGGTATTTTTCACTATATACTTACTATTTAATTTTTATGACTTTTAATACTGATATGACAGAACACAAAACAAAAGAAAGGCTTCTCACTGCTGTCAAGGCTGTCCTAGCACTTAAGATTTCAGGAAAGGAGCACTGTCTGACTCCTGACTCTTTGAATCAAGCCATGACTCTGGATGTCCTCTAACTCCTACCACCTTAGTATGATACCCAACCAGAGGTTCAGCTATAACACAGTTTCCCTATCCAATCAAATTTCTGCTTCAACAGCTTAAGGAGTTGTATTTTAACCAATATTTTAATTTCCTCTTAAACATAAGTTCCATATGGTTGACCTTTTTTGGCAGGAGGAGAGGGGCTTCTGATTTTGAAACCACTGAGTTTCAAATAATTTTATTTCATTCTTATCCAGAACGTTCTATCAGACCTGGTTTGGGGGACTGGGGACACACAATAAAGTCATACCCATTTTGAAGTATATAATAAAGAAAAATCCCCATTCAACAAAGCATTGCCAGGCCCCCCCAAAATGCCATTAATGCATACATTCAGAAATCCTACTCTAGAAAATCAATTTCAACAACTTTTCAAACTCTCTAGTGCTCTACACTAGGGTAAGGAACATATTAAAGGAGTATTTTTAAACTTTGGGGAAAAGGAGGTAAGAATGACATTTACAATGCTATGGACAGTGATTTCCGAAGTTCAAGGAAATTTTGATGCTATGAAATATATAATACATCTCCATTAAAAGAATTAGGTAGCTCTGTTTATGTTTACACATGCTAATATAGAAAGATTTATAAGATATTAGTTTTAAAAAACCAAATTACAGAACAGTACAAATACTACAATTCCATTTAACCTAATTAAACATATACACACAATTGTGTATGCCTTAAAGCTTAGGAGAAACTAAATATTAACAATGGATACCTCTAGAGAGAAGTGATATGTAAAGAAAAGAAGAAGCAAATATAAGAGGCTGCTTCCTTTTCCTCTTAAAAATCTTCTGACTTAATTTTCTCTAAAGAGAACACAATCCTAAACAACTCAAAATAAAAAAGAAGAAATAAAAACTGCACTGAAGAACTATCCACACACTCCTCATTTATCAGGCAAAGAAAGAGAAGATGAATCTCAGAAGACACAGGATAGGATACTGAGTGATCACTTCATCCTCCCTAGCCAAGGGATTCTAAGATCATCTTTAATCCCACTAATTGCAAAAACCCAAAGCTAACTCACAAGGCATAGGTGCACAGACAGAGGCAAAGCTGGCAGGCACAGAAAATATAGGGCAGTACAATGACAAGTTACTCACACCCATCAGCACAGAGCAGTGCCCATGGGTGCCCACCACCGAGACTGACCTGCATCAATAGCTTGCATCAGGCACTCATATGTCGTCTGTACTAGTTTCCGTGCTCCCTCATCCACATCTCCAACAAAAAATGTCTCATTCAGGTCCCCATGATAACCATTGCGGTAAAGAGTGATGTCCACTGCAAAAGAATATGCAAATATAAAGTCACTTGTTTTCACTTAAAAATAAAAGAGTAGATCTATTTCAAAAGAGAAAGTTTTTCCAACATGAGAGGATCAAGCAACTTAAAGGGGAAAAAAAAAATCTTCTGCGTTCAATCTATGCTTACCCCTGAACAGAAACTCCTTGAGGGTAATTCAACCACACTCACTGTGGAGCACAGGAATACGGACAGGCAACATGGGTGGTTTTACTAATTAGATCATGTGTAGCAGAGAAAAAGCTAAGCAGGATACAATTATCAAGATAAAAAACAAGAGTAATATTAAACCCAGGACTCTGCTACATTTTCAAATTAAATAAAAAATACTATTTTTACTTATTATATACATTGTATATGTAATAAAAATAAGGCCTATATGAAAAAACAGCACCTAGCATGGTGGTGCACTCTGGGAGGCTGAGGCAGAAGAATCCTAAATTCAAGTCTAGCCTGGGTAACTAAGCAATTTAGTGAGACTCATAAATCTAAAAATAGGAAATGAAAAGGTAGACGGACAGAAACAAAGGAAGAGGAAAAGGGGAAGGGAAGGGAAGGGAGGGGAGGACAGGACAAGGTGAAGGGTGGGGAAGGGAAAGAAGAAAAAAAAAGGAAAAGAAATAAAGGAGGGGGAAATAAAGGGTAGGAGAGGGGAAAAGGAAGAGGACTAGCCTCAAAACCCAAGGTACTCTAAACAAATACTGTAACTGAATTAATAACAACTGCAATAAAAATAGCTATCATATTACAATTAAATCTCTTCTATCACTCACAACAACCATCATAATTGGTTAACTGAGCAATTTGGGCTCATGCTTCCTAGACTTCCTCAGGAAGAGGAGACTAACTGCAACAATATTACAAAGGCCACCCAGGGGAGACTATGTCAATACTGTTTTTTAAAACTGATAGGAAAATACCATTGTAGCTTCTCCTTTACATTTGCAGCTCCTCCAAATAGCAGAGCACAGAGTTCTCAAAAGCAACTCCATGCAGGAAAGGCACATATATGAGAGTTGCACCTGACGTCTTAAGATCTTCATTTTTTTTTTTTTTGTACCGGGGATTGAACTTGGGACTTTGCACTTGCAGATCTTCATTTATTATTAAAGGTTACTATTAAATGATAAGAAAGCCTGCCCTGATCCCTTCAAAACTATTAGTGGGCTTAAAAAACAAAACTGCACTTACTTCACTTCATTGACATCTTTCACCTACTTACCATATAAGCTAAGCATTAAAGAAATACTGTATACCACTCCACACACATTATTCTTGATAGATCTTAAAAACACTGTGCACAAAATTATAAAAAAAATTCCACAGATTTTAGAATGATACTAAATTTTAAGTAGAAAAAAAGCATACATATAGGAATAAAGTCAAGAAAACTAAAGTCACTAACAGATTCCCAGGATTTTTCTTTGAAAATGGTGACAAAAACTGCATTCACATTTCTTACCATTAACAATATCTCCTTCTTGCAAAGGTCGTCTGTCTGGAATTCCATGGCAAATAACTTCATTCACTGAGGTACAACAAGACTTTGGGAAATTATAGTAATTCAGAGGAGAAGGATAGCAATTTCTTGCAATACATGCCTATAATAAAGAAAATGATTTTGAACATACAAAGGGGAAAACTTGATAAAATGAATTAGATTTTAAATCTGAAAAATGAAGATGTTACTATAAAGAACATTTAATATTTTATTTTAAAAAGAGCAGTATGTTTGGTTGATTGATTTCTGGGTGGGTGTGGGGGGGTTTGATTGATTTCTGGGTGGGTGTGGGGGGGTTTGATTGATTTCTGGGTGGGTGGGTGCGTGGGTGGGTGGGTGTGTGTGTGTGTGTGTTTCTCTCCAGATGGGGTTTCATTAAGCTGCTTTACAACTCATGGACTTAAACAGACCCTGCAGCCTTAGCCTCCCTAACAGCTGGGACACAGGCTGGTATGACTGCAGCTAGCTGGGAGGTATAATCTTAAAAAGTACCCAGCTGGGTTTACGCCAGGTTTACGCCAGTCAGATACAGTATATGTAAACCAGTTTCTCTGCTTTATTTGTCCTTTTCTTTTTTTCCCCAGGTACTGGGAATCAAACTCAGGACCTTGCGCTTATAGCACTACTGAGCTAAATCCTCAGCTCCCTGGTTTTTATTTTGAGTCAAGGACTCACTAAGTTACTAAATTGCCCAGGCTGTAACTGGACTTGCCATCCTCCTGCCCAAGAGTGCTGAAATTAAAGACAGGGACCATCATACCTAGCTAAAAAGGCGCTTTTTGCAGGGTGAGGGCGTACCAGGGATCAAACTTGGGTCCTTATACTTGAGAGGCAAGCAGTGGGACCACTGAGCTAAATCCCCGGCACTAAACAGGCTGATGTAACTATAATTCCTTACATAAAAAATAAGTATCTCTATGACCAAAAAATGAATACTATCATAATTAATAAATTATACACTCTCTGAGACATCTTAAGCACTGTATTCAGTGCAGCAACAAAAACATTCTGGCCTGTGTAACAAGACTTACTTTACTTGGACGTTTTATATAGATGGTAAATCACAGCATACATTCTCTTTCTATACTGTCACACAATCTTCAGGCTTCTAATGGTTGCATACAATATCATTTGTGGACTGTATCATAATAGCAATTCCACTATTACTGAATATCTAAATTAATCTGAAGTTTTATCAGTAACAAAAATCTTAGAGCCAATAACTACAATTCTGTAGCTTTTCCCTTATTTACAGATATGCTCATACTTTTTGAATAGTATAAATAGCAATTTAGAAGACACAGAATCAAAATGTCTTTACTGAAAAATGCCAACTCTGTCACTAACAAGTCTCATAACCTTAATTGGTATCTTTCTTCCTCAGTTTCCTTATCTATAAACTGGTATGATACTACTAGCACTTACCTCAAGAGAGTGTTAGTGTGATTAAATGAATTCATGTGAAAGATACATTAGAGAGCACCTGGCCAGAGAAAGCACTCAAAATGCTTACTACACACTGGACACACTGGGGTATCATGTAACAACACCCAAAAACCAAGATTTAAAAGTTCTGAATTGAAAAATGTATAAGCATTTTTATAATTTAACATACTGTCAAATTCTCTCAGACATACTATGTCTATCCCCAGTTGTAATACCATTATCATGCAAGAATACCAGTTTCATCCTTGCCACACAAACTCTACCAGAACAGGTTTAATCTGTTTTCTATGTCATAATTACCTACTGAACAACTTAGTCATATAACATGAAAACTCATCTAAAGTCTTAAGATCTCTTTTATTTTATTTTTTTATTTTTTGGTACCGGGGATTGAACTCAGGTCCTTGCGCTTGCAAGGCAGGCCACCAAACTGCTGAGCTAAATCCCCGGCCCTTTTATTTTATTTTTTAAAAAAGATATTATATTTACTATAAATATGTATGTTTATGGCCTTGTAGATATAAAAGAAACAAGATTTCCTACTAATCTAGCTTCAGATATCACACTCCATTTCAGAATAATGTTTGTAGTAGCATAATGTATTTAAAGCACTGATAAAATTAATCATTTTATAAAAGTGCAACTGAAATGCTGCCATTTCAAAAATAAGATATTCCTGGGCTCGGGATTTGGGTCAGTGGTGCTGTCACCTGCCTTGCAAGCACAAGGTCCCAACTTTGATCCCAGGTACCAAAAAATAAAAACATGTTTTTTGTAATCCTAGCACTCTGGGAAGCTGAGACAGAAGGACTACAAGTACAAGGACAGCCTAGGGCATTTAGTGAGACGCTGTCTTAAACAGGCTTGGGATATAGCTCAGTGAGAAGGCCCTGGTATCAGTCCTTAGATCAATAAAAAATGAAAACATAAGCTCATCTCAGAGATTAGCATCACAGATATACTGGTTCCTCAGTATATGTAGGGGATTAGTTCCAGGACTACCCTTGAACATCAATACCTGTTGATGCTCAAGACCCTTACATAAAACAGTATAGTGTTTGCATGAGCTATACACATCTACCTAGATACTTTAATCATCTCTATGCTACTTATAATGCTAACACAATGTAAATGCTATTCTGTATTGTTTAGGGAATGAGAAGAGAATTATACATGTTCAGTGTAGGTGTAATTTTTTCCCCCAAAATACTTTCAACTTTCAGTTGGGTGACTCCATGGATGGATGCTCACAAACCAGAAGGCAAGACTGTATGTAAAGATGAGAATAACTATTGCTGAATATGTTCTATATTTGAAATACGTCTTTAGCTTAACCATATTATTCAGACATTCAGAATTTAAACACTTGCAATAATGTGAAAATTTTTCCAAAGTAAAATAGTAAAGTTCTTACTAAGTGTACAGCATGATCTATTTCTTCAGTAGTTACACCTGGTTTAACCATCCCAGCAGCAATATCCAGAACTTCTCTAGCAAGCTATAAAAGAGGAACACTGCACATGTGAAAACAAACAAACAAAAACCAGGAATCTGTACCCTTTGTATCACCTTAGATTTTGCAGAAAGTTAGTAACATGAACTTTCCATTCTACATTGTTATAAAAAATGTTAATATACAAGTTTACATAAGAAGTAGGTTAAAGTTTATTTACTAAGATTTCTCTGTGAAAATGTACATTAAATTTAAGCAATTATCAACTGATAAAGGCAGTCTTCTCACATTTCTATAATAAAGAATACAGGGAAATAAAAGATACATGAATTTTCTCAAAGAATCATTACAAATAAAAGGAATATAAAGTTATACAGATTATCAAAAAAATCAGCATCAAGTTACTTTTAAAGTGCTGCATAAAACCTTAAGAATCACATCTAAATGAACACTATCAATGAGTCATTTATTTTTCCTTTAAAAAATGTAACTTCATGTAATTAATACCAACCACTACTAGCATGCTTGTATTTTGCTGTAAGACCTTTGGTTGAATCTTGTATGAGCCTTAACCCTTGTCCTATGTTATTATACTGGTGAAAATAAAATGACAAAATGTCATTAAAAATCTGGTTCTATAGCAAAAGGTAAAGGAAACAAACTTGGCAACCAAATATTTATTACCTAACTAATTTCCAAATGGGCTATTTAAGTAAAAAGCAACTGCTAGACCAAATTATATATTAACAATAGCTAAATGAAATGTATGGCTAGTTAGTCTTACATTGTAATACTGGATACATTTATAGATCATCGAATCATTGACTTCCTTTGTTATGTACTGCTTAATCATGCCATACCCACAAGAAAAGAATTACTCTTACCCTACATACAAGTTGCATTCCTTCTATATCTTCAGATGAGAGTAACTTAATTTGAGAAGTACCTTTAAGAGCCTGTTCAGATTCAGACATCCCTGGAAGGGAAAAATCAGTAAGTAAAACTGAAACAAATGGAAAGATACAGAATTTATTAGAATAATTATATCCTTGATGGTATAACAGTCAAGGCTTCCTGTCTCACACAATGCTGTTTCATATTTGGGGGAGGTCCAGGTTAGTTTATTTATAAAATATTTTCAATATGAATAGGAAATGTGCTAAACAAGTTTAAGGAAGAATTCTAAAGGACAAATTTTAAGATCTACTGGTATTAGAAATCAATGATTTACAGCGTACATACATATTATATGCGAGGTATAATAATAAGCTCCGTAACTGACTTATAAATTGTTTTCACAATTATTTCATGAAGCACCTTTATATCAACAATTAATGTATCACTTAGTATACTATTTTCTGAAACAGGAATTTAAGTCAATTATTTTCATACTACAGTTTATGATCTTTTAGTGGGCAAAATATATTTTTTAATTAATTTATTGGCATATAATGTGCACATTCATAATAGGGAATCTGTACCTCTACATGATATTTCTTGATTCCTTTATTTCCCACACCCCCCATCCTTCTTCACCTATTTACAAAAGACTTACTTACATTTTTTCTTTCTGTTCTTTTCCTTTCCTTCCCTCCCTCTCCCTACTTCTTCCCTTTCCCATTTGAACATTTTTTAAAAGTAAAAAGGGAACAGATATTATTAGATTGTATTATACAAACCAAGACTAGTGCTACTATAAAATGTATACAGACACACACACATATTCACAGGTCATGTCGTAAAACCCATTTCTCACTCTGGGTCATGGAAGTTTGAAAAACATTACCCTAGTAATCTGCACTAATAAAATTGGTCTAATTCAAGTTTCATATACATTTAAAAGAAAGTGTATACCAACTATTTCAAAATATGAAAAAATAATATACTAAATCATTAACTAATCTTGTTTATAAGCACTGGTGGAAAAATTCCAAATGAAATACTACCAAACAGAATGAAAAACAACAACAAAAAGAAATCATGATTTAGGTAAGATTCATACCAGAAGGCAGGGATAGTTCAATATTAACAAATTTGTTAATCAAATTTATCATAGATCAAAGAAAAATAAATGACTATTTAGAAAGACACATAGGATACCATGGCTAGCTACTACCTTAGTATGACAAATATTAACCTCAAACCAAGAAGCAACAGAATAATCACTATCAGCACTATTATTTAACACTGTTCTATCAATACTAATAGATGGAACAAATAAAAAGAAATAGACAAAATTAGAAAGGACGAAATCTTAATGCATATATTCCTAGAACATGAGAGCCATCTGATGACTAGAAATAGAAATCAAGTTAGCAAAGTATAACAAAATATATCAAAATCAATACTTTCCTATATACAATGAGCTAAACAAAATACAGAAGATAATATCCATTAAAATAGCTAAACAATAAAATACCCAGAATAAATATAACAATATCTACAAGAAGAAAAATCTGAAAACACTGCTCAAAGACATGAAAAGGCATCTAAATAAAATAGAAAAATGCCCCCTGTCCTTGGATGGGAAGACTCCGTATTGTTAAGTTACCAATTCTTCCAAGATTAATGTATATATTTAATATTATCCCCCCACCAAAAATGCCAAGAGGATATTTCTGGGAACAAACACAAGCTGATTATAAATTTTACATGGAAAAACATACTGGAGTAGCCAGAAAAATTATGAAAAAGAAGAAAGGTGGGGACAACAAACTTTACCAAATATTAAAACATTAGTGGTATATAATTACAAAAATGGGTTAGTGAAACAGAAAAGAATCAAAATATATACCCAAAGATATGTGAGGATTTAGTGTAATTATATAGGTTGCATTTCAAATCAGTAATACAGGTTGCATTTTACTACTTAAGAATGTTGAAAGTTTGCCACAAATTTAATGACAAATGTAAATGGTCACTTGGGAAAAAACATTTTAAACACATATATCAAAGGATTTTCTATAACATAGAAAGAATATCTACAAATCAACTTGGAAGAAAACTAATAATCTAAGAGTAGGGATAAGAATTTGAACAGTGTAAAAGAAAAGATAAATTACTTTCAACATATGAAAAGATGTTCAACATTACTCGTAACTTTAAAAATTCAGGGCCAGGGCTCAATGGTGCTGCCACCTGCCTTGCAAGCGCAAGGTAGTGAGTTTGATGCCTGATACCAAAACACAAAACAAAAACAGAAAAAGAAAAAAAAAATAACAAGAAGAAGAAATCTAATAATAAAAATGCAAATTAAAATAGCAACAAAATACCATTTTTCATCTTCCAGATTAGCAAAAAAAAAAAAAAAAAAAAAAAAAAATCCATTTTTACATCTACAAAAAAAAAAAAAAAAAAAAAAAAAAAAAAAAAAGTTTAACAACACAAAATGTTGGGGAAGATGTAAGAGATAAGAGATCCCCATATATTAATGAGAGTAACAACTGCTAAACAGCTCTGAAATTTTTAACATCTTTCAAAATCAAAAAACATATGCAATCCTTTGATGTATACCACATCAGGCAATTAACCTATAGAAATACTCATACAAAGACAGAAATACCTGACTAGTTACTACAAACTGGAAGAAGCAAAATCTGGAAATAATATCAACATTCATTAGAAGGTGCCTGGTTTAATAAATTATGATATAACTATATAATAAAATAATCCAATTACTAAAATGAAGAAAGTGACTATATGTGCTCATGCAGAATATTTCCAAGATATATTAATATATCAAGACAGCAAAGTGAAAAGGTACATGTGGTATTTTTTTTGTGCACAAATGGGCAAGGAGTCTAATGTATATACACAAATTATCTCTGGACATTTCAAAAAACTGATCATAGTGACTGTCTCTAAGGAGTAGGACTTACTTTTCATTTATATTCAGATTAAAGAATAACATGTCCTCAACAGTTTTTTATTCTTCCAACTGTATTTTCCTTTCATTTATCTGCAACAATGGGTTTGACTAAATGTTAAAGTTATGTATAGAACTTAATATGATTCTCCATATCTTAAAGACAGTATAACTTATCTCAGAAATACTGAAAGTGTTAAATGGAGTGACATGCAAAGAACTTAGCACATAGTTAAGCAAAAATATACATCAGTTACTATTACAGAATCAGCAGCACCCTCATTATTACCACCATTATCGTCACAACTATACACTATTTTTGTTATCACTACAGTCCATTCTTTAGTTAGGCATTCCAATTAGGCCTCCATAATCTACTTTTGCCTTAATTTAGGAGGACATGTCAAAATTAAAACATTTTTATCTAAAAATTGATAATATCACAAAATATAGTATTATTCAAAATGTAATCTTTAGCAGCTAAATAAACAAGGTTTTTAGAACTGGACAGATTTCTAATAGGGGAAATAATCTTTAATTCTCTTAAATGCTCTAAAATGGCTTGAAAAAGCAATGTTTACATTTATTAGAAGTCCAGCAGTAAACATTTCTATAAGAAAATTACTCCTTCCATTTGCAGTAATCATCAAGCCCACAATGAAAAGTGAAGAACCAACATATCAGAACTTACCTAAGGGATGATCAGCATAATCTGGTCTTTGAATGTAACTGGGAACTGGCCTTGTTGGCATCTGAAAACATTGAAACAATTTAAACCTATTAACTAGTAAAAAAAATAAAACAGGAAAAATTAAAAAGCTCAAGTAAAAGTTTTTAAATGAAAATAGTTTGAGGTGACACAAAAATATCAAAGCAGATATTTATTTCATTAAAATTAAGCCTTACTTTCCTAGTGCTTATACCACCCCTTTAAGAGGTTTAAGAAAAGCCATCAGTGACTTTAGATTAGCTATACACCACAAGGTGCCAGTATTGTTCCAAAAAACACTGGCAAATTGACACCAAGGATGTAATAATGTCTCAAATAAAATATATACCACAATGTTCCTATTCATTATCTCTGGGAAGGAGAATTAAAGAGACTTTCTTAAGAATTTCATGTTTTTTTCAAAATTTTAAGAAGAAAATCATCAGTAAAGAGAATTCAAATATTTAAGGATAATAATCAGATTACAACTTCATTGAATTCCTATTAAAACTCAGCAAAGAATACTAGAAATGACAGGAGTGGCCAAAAACGGCAGTTATGAGGTAAGGCACAAATATTACATTTTAAAAATTTAGAAAATAATACACACTACCGTCAGAAAGAAAATAACTATTGTACTTTACCTCATTCTTTTAAAAATACTAATAAAGCTTTAATTCTTTCATTGAAAATTTTCTCTACTTCTTCCATGACAGTTAATTATCCTAACTAGCTCCCAAATAATGCACTGTAAGAGCTAAAGAGCTAGAGTGCAAGTTCTTTTGTGAACATACTCCTGTTCCATGGTTCACCATTAGAATATAAATTGCAATTATCACTTATACTAAACTCAAAACTGATTTTTTTAAATGCTAAGTTCTTATGACCTGACTTACTCACCAGTGGATAATGTGGTCTCAGTTTACCAGTATATCGATACCCTGCCCAAGGATCAGTGTTAATATCACCTTCAACGGTCCAGGAAGATACTTCTTGCTTTGCCTTTTCATCCTCTGGGAAACAGATGAATGAAGAGATGTGAGTGAAACAAAAAGGGGAAAACAACATGCTCCAGTGACAGAGCAGCAGACTTTTATTCTTACTTATTTAAATATAAAGCCACACCAGACACAAGAATCCAGCACATTTCCACCCTAAACTAACAAAGCTATTACTTTACTGCTACAGTGTTATAATTTCTCTTAGAAGATCCAAATGTCTTAGAAGAAAAAGAAACATTATGGGAACAGCTCATAGAAATGCTTCTCTCAGTGCATTCTCTCTTCAATTTCAATTTATATGAAGTTCATGTCAAAATATGAAATATGAGCCCTAGCAAAAAAAACTCAACCGGAATTAGATGTAACAAATGAATGTTATGCTTTTATTAAAAGAAGAGATCCTAAATTACCTCAAAGCAAACTTAAAATCAAAACTAATTTCCTGCTTAGCAGTTGAATGGCTTTTAAGTCAATATTTCAAATTGCTTTAAAAGCTTTTATGACCATATTTTTCTCTTTTTAGAAGGGGATATAAGAAGAAAAGGAGAAAAGGGAAAAAATAATCTGTTGAAAGTTACTGCAAACTCAAAGAGAATTTAATTACATACATATTATTATTTTAGCTATTAATACATAATAATTGTGCTTACTGAGATACACCTAAGAATCTTTTTCAAAAAAGCAAGCCCTGTATGGTACAATTTCAGCACACCAGCTGTACCTACTACCTCTTCCTTATTCATTCAAGTCCCTACTGAAGCAAGTATAAATCCACAAACCGCCCAGTGCACACAGTTCTTTTATTACCATAGCTTATGTTTTATTTTTTAATACTAGGGATCAAACTCGGGACCTTGCAATTGCAAAGCAGTCATGGTGCCACTAAGCTAAATCCCCAGCCTTTTAAATTTTTTTTTCAGCTTTAATTGAGTTTATTGTCCATAGGTTTTGAAATGCAGGATTCAAACTAACTTTAGATATATGAGAAAAATAAAATCTCTTAACCTATTCAAAATATAGAATGGTAAGGTCCTGGGTTCAATCCTCAGCATGACCAAAAGAAAGCTGCTTAAATGGAGTCATATGATTTTAAACTAGAAAGGCTATCAGAGAAAATCTAATCCACTTATTTAATAGATGAGGAATTAAGGTGACATGTATTATGTGGCCATGATCCAAGAAGGCCAGTTTCCAATCCAATGAACATGTGGACACCTCCATACTAAAAGGACACTGAAGCACACAACTGATAAGAATGCAAGAATATAGCCAATCTATTACTTTGGAAGAGAATATATCTGTACCATCACATACAAGTAAAAGAAAAAAAAAAAGAGATTCTACTGTTACTGAATTTTAAATATCTTTATCCCCTCTGTAGTTGAAGAAAATCACTGTGAATGTTATTGTCAATACAAAAACTCTTATCCCAGGACAAAAACAGACTCCCATCCATTGCCAATAGGTTCATTATAGAAAATTGTTCAAAATGCCTACTTTAGCTATGAATCACATGAAGAAATTCTGCCTTAAACACAAATTTCGAGAATAACTTTCTCCTGAAATCTAGGGCAGAAAAGCAATCAAATTCAGGCTTTTGCTTTAACATATTCCTGGAGAGAAAGAAAAGAAGTAAAATCTTTCATGGCTTTCTGTTGATCTGCATTCCTTCCCTTCCATAATCTATTTGCAAAAGAAAATTGAAAGCGGGGCTGGGAATTTAAGCTCAGTGATGTCGACACCTGCTTCACAAGTGCAAGGTCCAGAGTTCCATTCGCAGTATCAAAAAAAATTAAAAAGAGAGCAAGAGGGGGGAAAAAAAGCAAAGAAAATTGAAAACAGATCTGGAACACACACAATAACCCAAAAGCTAGCTACAAAGTTGAAATCCGTCAGGTTCTTTTCTAATCTTTAGGTATAATTAGTTCATGAAAATTTACACTTGAAAGGTGAGCCCTAAATGCTAGACATATAACAGATATCTAATGTATCTGACGTGAGGTGAGGTTGGTAGTAAAACTGGTCTTTTTAAATAACTGTGAAAGCATGAGACATTATAAGCAAGCATCTGTAAGCTCTCTTTCATATACCACAAAACAATACGCCCAGGTTAGATACAGGCCATGTCAAAGAGTCAGAATTCCTCAGATCTTGATTCATGCAAAGTCTGGCCCAAAGAATATCATACCCAGGCTTTATTCTTTAAAAGCTTTCTCCAGCTATGTAAGATAACTGTACACATCTAAACTTTGCCTGGGACAGGATTTTCTAAACTGATGTATGAGTAACACATTATCTAGGATAGAATAAAATAATAGTGAAAATAGAAGTGCCACAACATTTATAGATCACATTAAAAGTAAACTACAAAAAAAAAAAAAAAAAAAAACCCCAAAAATTTAAAAAAAAAAAAAAAAAAAAAACAAAAAAAAAAAAAAAAAAAAAAAGTAGAAAGGAGAACCACGCCTGCTCGCGACCCAGCCGCCATTGCTCAAGCACCGGGAGGTAGGCTGGGCTCCATCCACCTCGGGAAGAACCACGTTTGCTCCCGACCCAGCCGCCATTGCTCAAGCTCCAGGAAGGTAGCCGCGTGGGTGCCACTGAACCTCCATAAGCCCCCCCCCCCCCCCTAGCGGCCCAAGGTCAGTCAGCGTCATGGGGTTCAGCCATCAGCTAACTGAGATCAGGGGTCTTGCATCCTCGCTCTTTCTGAGCCATTAAATGGTAAATACACTATATTGAAATTTTGTTCACTACAGACATGTTCTGGACTGCTTCTTGATTTCAATTTAATTCAAATGATTTAAGGGTCATAGACTAGTGACTACCACAGGTGGTCAGTGTCCAAGTTGTGCTTGATTTTAATGTGTTGCTGATGGTATCAGTTGGGATAAAGCATTGTGGGTTGATTTGATGAGCTATTTCTCTGATGTTATGAAGATGAGAATGTCTGTGGGTCGTTAGAGACACAGAAGCTAGGGTGCAACTATATCAGGAAGATATGGGTGATAATCCAGAAATTAAACCAAGGAGAGTCCGACAACAAAAATTAAAATGAGAAAACACTTAAGCAAGACACAAGGACAAACTTCCAGTTTACCAACGGCAAACAGCAGGGCAAATGAGGATGAAAAGGCTGATAGTGAACCACCAGGACACCCTGAATTCAAAGCACAGGAAGTAACAAAACAGATCAATCAGGCTCTAGAAAAATTCAAAACAGAAATAATTTCCCAGATAACCATAGAGATAGTGAGCAAAATGGAAGTCATGATTCGAGACTCCAGAGCAGAAACTGACAAAAAAAATAGATGAGCTCAGGACCATGATAGAAGCCATGAAGGCCCAGCATAAGAAAGAAATGGAAAAAATAAACACCCAACATAGGAAAGAAATGGAATCCATAAAACAGATTCAAACAGATATCCAGGAAATTAAACACTCTATTGAAAGTGTACGCAACAGAATAAAAGAATGCGAAGATAGGCTCTCAGATATAGAAGATAAGATTGCAGTCAGTGACTGTGAAAAGAGAGGTCTCTGATAAACAGTAAGAGATCATGAGAAATCGATCCAACAACTCCTAGATGATGCAAAGAAGAATAACATAAGACTGATAGGAATACATGAAGTAGCAGGAGAAAATAAAAATGACTTTAAAGAGCTGTTCACAGAATTAATGACAGAAAACTTCCCAAACAGAGGGGAAGAATTTGACATTCAGATAATAACTGAGGCATATAGGACCCCAACTAGCTACAATCAAAAAAATCTACACCTAGACATATAATAATCAAGATCCCAGAAACCCAATCGAAGAACAAAATACTACAAGCAGTAAGAGAAAAGAAACAAATCACATACAAAGGAAAGCCCATCAAAAAATCACAGCAGACTTTTCAACACAAACCCTTGGGGCAAGGAGAGCCTGGAATGAGATATTTCAAGTACTAAAAGAGAACAACCTCCAACCTAGACTGATGTATCCAGCAAAACTCTCTTTCAAAATGGATGGGGAAATAAGACACTTCCACGACAAAGAACACCTGAGAAACTACATGAATACCAAACCAGCACTACAAGCAATTCTAAACAAGATCCTAGAAAAAGACAATGAAGGCAACAACACCATGAGGCCCAACAGAGCAAATCAAATAGGCAAGGCAAGAAATTAAAAGGAGAAGGGAAAAAAGTAAAAAGAGTCAACAAAAGGCCAATAACATGTCAATAATAAGTCAGTACATATCAGTTATAACCAGCAATGTCAATGGCCTCAACTCACCAATCAAGAGAAATAGACTGGCAAAATGGAATAAGAAGCAAAATCCAACAATATGTTGTATACAAGAAACACACCTAGTGCAAAAAGAAGCCCATAGACTGACAGTGAAAAGATAGAAAACAATTCTCCATGTGACACGAGCCCAGAAAAAAATAGGGGTAGCAATCTTATTTGCAGACAAAGGAAATTTTAAACCAAAACTGAATCTAGTATTATTGATGTAGGACGGTACTGTATCATACCTCTACGAATGTAAAATATCTAGTACCTGCTTTATGATACATAGTAGGGACCGTACTTTATCAGAGCTACATTTAATGATACTACTCTAGAATGTTCTCTTTCCAGATGATGATTAAGAGGCTAATAGAAAAAATGGTGCCAGGTACCACAACAGCAACAGAACTTTGCTGTTGTCTGGATATTATTCTTTTTTTTGTTTTTTTTTTTAATGGAATGTGCTGAATGTCTATAATTTTGTTCAGATGACTGCAGAACCTGGAAAAGCTGTTGCTGCTATTGATGCATAACATACTATTATTAGTCTTTTTATATACATATATATATTGAATTTTGGGAAACTTTAACAGTACTGCCAACTTTGGAAAATGTCATCCCAATTTACTGTGTTGAGTTGGCATTGTACAGAAATGGACAACCATATTGGTCTAGAAATGTTAATTATTTTTTTTTTTTCCCATGTGTACAGGGGTAACACATCGTACTAAATATGTAAGGTCATATCTACGTGGGTTTGATTACAGAAACTAATAAAGTATTCTCTAAATAATGAAAAAAAGAATAAGATAAGACTATAAGAGCGAGAAGCAATTTAAATATGTTCAGGGACCATTTTCATCTCCAGAATTAAGGATTATTTTAATGTTACATCATTGCCTTTTCTCTTTTACTTTCCTTTTTAGTTTTATTTTAGGATTCCCTATTTTTAATGTTCATACAGAGATTTCTTTAACTGAAATACCGAATAGTTTCTTTGGTGTGAAAAACTATAATAGTACACAGGATCCTAATGAGATAATTAATAATGTGAAATAGGAAGTAAAGGGCTAAAGGTGTAGGGAAAGTGGGAAGGGTGGGGGAAAGGTAATAAGGGAGAGGAAAAAAATATGAGAAACTGAAAAATGGAAATAAAGTGTTTGTAAATGGGGAGGGGAGGAGAGGGTGAAGGGAGGGCAGGGACAGGGGGAAAAAAATGAGAATCAAGACCTATTATGTAAAGGTACAGAATCCCAATGATGAATGCAATTGTATTGTATACCTAGATTGTACCAATAAACTCAATAAAAAGGAAAAAAAAAAGTAAACTACTAAAAAAAATAAAAGTAAACTACTTTATGTGTACTCTGCCAGAAGATACAGTGTAGGGCAGACGCACCCAGATATCACCATTATATGCCTTTAATTAAGGCATTACACTCTGACTGATCTTCACTATGATAAATTATATTCATGAGTCATTTATTTAACTTATATTTGAAATTTTCCCAAGATCTATACAAAATATTGAGCTTCCATAATTAAGAAAACTCCAGGCCTTGTTAAATTCCATCAAACATTTTTAAAGAGTTAACAAATTTCTTCCAGAAGAGGAGTAAAAATTTCCAGAAAACTAATTTCTTCCAGAAAAAAGAGCAAATGTTTTCCATTTTATGAGACTAGAATTTCTCTAGTGTCAAAACCAAAGGTATTAAAAAGCAAATTATGGACCAATAGCCCACACAAACAAATATAAATAGAGTATTTTTAATCAGATCAATATATACTACACTTATTTTAAAGGCTGAGGATATCACCCTCATGATGAGAACTGCTCACCCAAAGTACCATCTGTCAATATACCCAATATCTTCCTTGCCCAACACTTTTTCCATATGCTTTTCTCAATACTCTTCTAAGCTATGGAGATCATTCTTCCTTATAGTATTCCCTTTTCTAGGACTGTCACTCAAAACACTGTTTTGGGGGTAGTTTGTTAGATGTGAAAGATTTAGCTCTGGCCAGGTGAGAGCACTCTAACCAATGGAACCCACAGGGATTGAGGGCATTTGGCTCACACACTAAAGAAAATCACCCCCCCATCGCTTCTCAGCCTTTTGGCTAAGATCAAGTGTAAAGAAAATCACCCCAAAAGATCTAAGAGGACACTACCAAAAGACAGCACTCTACTAAGCACCGAAAGTATAACAAACTCCAAATAACTTAGGTCCAATGCTACAATAATTAGACGTATTTACATAAAGAATACCTGCTATGTTATTACCTTGTCATATAGATAAAAATAAAATAATTATTTCTGCCCTTAGAAATCCAGGGCAGTTGGCAATCAGTAAAACTTGGAAAAAGCCCAATTGCCCATCAACTGGAGACTCAAGAAATAAAATGTGCTTTTTTTAATAAAATGGAGTACTACTCGGACATAAAGAAAGAGAAACTAGAGACATTTATAGCTACTGGACGCACACTGAGGCCATACTCTTAAGTAAAATAAACAAGACACAGAATTAATAGAAAACAGAATTAATATGAGAAAATGAAAACATGGAAACAAAGACTTTGTAAATAGGGAGAGGTGGAGGGGCTGAAGGAAGGGCAGGGGAATGGGGAGAAAATAAGAACCAAGATAGATGCTGCCTGCCTTGCAAGCACAAGGGCCTGAGTTCATTCCTTGGTACCAGAAAAAAATAAAAAAATTTTTAAAAGGAACCAAAATAGATTATGTAAAGGTATAAATTTCCAATGATGAATGTCATATTGTATACTTAAAATGTACCAATAAAACTAATTAATTTTTAAAAAAAGAAATCCAGTACTTGCAAAACAGGTACACTTCAGGGAGTTGGCAAACTTAAAAACACCTGTTCTAAGGTATTTTATTAATATTCTATTTAACTTCAACCCCTTATACTTCCCTATGCTTTAATTCCCTAAGTATAAAAAACAAACTGGCTCAGAACTCTGCAAGATACTTACCATTTTACAAGGTGTGAAATATACACAAGAATAATGTTATATGATTTTATTTAAATCTACCTCCATACTTTGAGGTGAAAATAAAAATCAACAACACCTGTCTTTTTACACTTTCACTTATTCACTTATCATCTTCATTCTAACCATATTTTCTCCCACAACAACCTACCACTTTTATTAAATGTAGACATCATTTTATATAATACAATCACAGAAAATATTATCTTTTAAAATTTTTTATTTCCTTCTCTTCCAAAGGTGGTTCGATGTCATGACCTCAGATTTGTTTTCGTAAAACAATCTACTGAACCTCCTTAAATCAACTTACCAAGATCAGCAAGTTAAAGCAGAAACAGTTAAATACAAATAACCCTGTGCTGCCTGCCAAGCTTATGTCCATCAGAATAGCAATGATATAAAATCACCTATCAATGCCCGGGAACTTGTGATAAGCCATACAGCCACACTAATGACATAAATTCGCAGGATGAGCAGCAGCAATAGCTAAGAACCAGTTGATAGTTTCACTATGTGGCATCAAAAAAATTTCAGAAAAGAAAATTAAATATTAGACTGTGGATAATAACATTAAGGTACCAAAAAGCAAAGTATATTCATCCCTCGGTATCCCAGGGGACAGGTTTCTGAATCTTCCTAGGATGCTCAAGTCACTTTTATAAAATGGCATGCTGGGCCAGGGATTTAGCTTAGCGGTTCGGTGGCCTGCCTTGCAAGTGCAAGGACTCGAGTTCAATCCCTGGTACCAAAAGAAAAAAAGTTTAAAATGGCATGCTTCTGCACATAACCTATGCACATCTCCCCATGTACTTAAACTCATCTCTAATATAATGTAAAAGCTATGTAAACAGCTACATACTGTACATGTTCAAAATAGATGAAAATTTCTTTTCAAATGTTTGACCTACAGTTACTGTGCTCGAATCCACAGATATAGAATCCACAGATGCAGAATCTGAGGATACAAAAGGCTGACTATAATATAATTTTGAGTAGGAAAAAAATACAAATTAAAAGCTAAACAAAAAAAGGTGGGGATCTGGCAAAATGAAGTCAAAGAGCTCATGTGCCCACTGCTTACAACATGAAAACACTTCTAACAAAGACACGAGGGTGGCAAAAGATTAAGACACTATCAGGTACCAGTCAATCAAGACCCATCTAGCCTAGCAAAGATCTCAAGTTTTAATGTTAAATATGTGAAACAATGCAAAGGTATTATTAAGAATAAAATAACTTTAGGATCATATTCTCAGAACATTCAAATATACACTTTCAGAACTACAAGAATTTCTGTCTTCTAGCACAAAAGCAGAGGACAAATATTTTAAGTGATTTTACTTACTTGCTTTCTTATGTAGTAACTTGTGAATAGCCCAACTTCCTTTAAAACATTCCTAAAAGAGCAAACAAGGAAATTAGTGCCAGATCTTTCTTAATTAGGAAAGGTATACATAATACACTGATTACAAATTTTATTTGCAACAACTAAAATTTATGGATCTGCAAATTAAGTATCTAGAAAAAGCTTAAGAAATGATACCTATTCAACATTTCTGTTCAAAAACAATCTAAACTTCACTTCAAATAAGCAAGTAAATTTAGCCTATAATTAAATAGTCATGGTATTTCAATTTTATCTCACCAAATTATGAAGTATGTGAAAAGATCCACTAGCCAATTAATCACACATTGGAAAAAGAATTACAAGAAAATGTTTAAAAATTATTCCATTATTTATAGTATGGTATCAATTAAATCAACCATCTAACCAGTTACCACAGCTCCTACATGTCCGCAGACAGTACGCCCTGCAGAGGAAGAGACTATTTGTCAAAATTTACCACTACCACCCAGACTCAAACAGGGTACTTGGGTCATGGTGGGATTTCAGTACTGTTCAATGACTGATCAGAATGGATTAACTAGAAAGACAAAACTTCTCACTAAGGAAAATGTGTTCATATAACATTTAAGTTACTAGTAATATGTAATAAATTGTGAAAATAAACTCAATAATAAATTGAATTCAGTAAGTAACTCAAGTAATTAGAAAAGGAATTCAAATAGACATAGATCTTTCTACTTTGATTTTTATAATCTTTGCTTCAAAGAGTTCCATTCCTTAATAATTCAAAATACTAAGAAAATTTACAAATTCCTACAAATGTTTTATCTTTGAAAGCATAAAAGACATAAATAAGAAAAAAAATAGAAAATTATCATTAAGATAGTAGTATTCAAACCACATTTCACAAGTGACACTAAGGCTGCCCTCCCTAACAGTTTATGCAAGGACCACTGGAGAGTTAGTTTTCCACCCACCCACCCCCACTCAGGGCCAAGATAATTCATTTATTCCCTTTTACTCTTCTGGATTCCCCCACAACTTTCCAGTAAAGTAAGAAAACCCAGGTCATACCTATGCCTTTCCACTACTACAACCTACATTGACTTCAAAAGTATAAAAAAGTATCTAAAACTTTAAAGATGTTTCAGTTTTGAAGCTATAAATGAGCTCAGACTTTGGGGAGGGGTGGGAAGGTTGGTAGGCAGAATAGTAGCAGTTCAAAGATGTCCACATCCATATCTCTGGAAACTGTAAATGTGCAATATATATGACCAGGGAGATTTAAGGTAATATCACTTAGGAAGAAGATTATTTCCCTCTTTTTTTAGATAAGGGTGCTTAAAGGATAGAAGAGGGAGGCAGAAATAAAGAAACGTGTAATGATAGCAGCAAGACCAAAGAGATGTCACATTATTGGCCTTGAAGATGGAAAAGGTAGCTATGAGCCAAGGAACGTGCACAGCTCTAGAAACTGAGAAGGACAAAGAAATGAATTTCCCCTAGTTCCAGAGAGGAACACAAATTGGAAAGAGTTGTTTTTAGCTTTGAGCCCTGCAAATTTCTAACCCACCAAAATATAAGAAAATGTATGTGTGTTGTTTTTAACCATCAAGTTTGTCATAATTTGTTATGGCAGCCACAGAAAACTAAAACAGGAGATAAAAATAAGAGTTTATCCCTGTTGTCAAACTACAAAAAATGCTCACAACTGGAAAAAAACAAATAAACAAACAAACAAAGTTTTTTCTTGTTACAAAAACCTGGTAGAAAAACAATTAATGTATTCTACCTGAGCTGCTGATCCACTCGGGCTAGTGTTTCTGATTTTCTGTTTCAAATCCCAGTCTCCCAAGCCTGGAACCCCTGTCCTATACACATGGGATCCCAGAGTTTCTGTGGATGTTAATATCATAGCACCCACTTTCCTGTTTATGGACTGACTTAAGACTGACCTTACCTAAGAAAGAAGCCTGGAGAAAGAGAGAAAAGGAAGAGAGAAATGGCCCATTTCCAGGTATTATTGATACTCAGGGATGTGGCCATGGAGTTCTCTCAGGAGTGGGAATGCCTGAACCCTGCTCAGAGGACTTTACATATGGAGGGGATGTTGAAGAATTATAGGAACCCGGACTCCCTGGCAAGAATCTTTCTCATGTTTGGAGTACTGTCTCTATTTTGGAGCAATGAAAATAGTCCTGGACTGTGGAGAATGAAGTGAAAATACAATCAGATACTTCTGTGATATATACTGTCAAGAAATTATCATCAGAAAAGGATCTTTAAAAAGGAGAATCCAAGCACTGATGTTGAAAAGACATGAAGGAAATGATGTGGAAGGCAAGTTCAACAAAATGCACAGGAGTTTGAGTCAGTGGGGATATCATGAAAAAATTACAAAGCACTGATTATGACTCATAAAAATCCCACTGGTACAAAAGATGAACCACATTACAAACTGCGGAATAATATCTCTTCAAAGCAGAATGCCGCTGTAAGGAAAAGTATCTATTAATATTATAAACAGAAGTCAAATATGAAATATGTATTAAAACAAAAAATAAAATACCCTGTGCAAGAAACAAGTACATGAAATGTTTGTAAGACTGGAGTAAGTTCTCAGCCAAACTTGAGAAACGTGAAACTGAAGGAAAAATTTATGAATGTAATCATAGTAAGAAGTTTATCAGTAAGCATTGTTCCTCTGCTACACCACTTCAAAGAATTCCTTCTTGGGTGAACAACAAAGTTTCTAACAAATACAGGAAATTCTTTATATATCCTTCATTGTTCATACAACACCAGAAAACACACATTAGAGAAAAACCTTACAAATACACCCGCGGAAGGCTTTTGAAGAAAGCTCAAAACTTACTATTCATCAGATAATTCATTCTTTTTTCCCACTTTGTACCTGCCTCACCACATGGCTTTGGAGTATAAAACATCTTTGAAAAGTGGGGTATGCTGGCAACTCACTTTCTGGTCCCCCTTCTGTCTCTCTCAGAAGCTTCCTTTCCCTCAATAAATTTTTCTTACTCTTTAAAAAAAAAAAGGGGCATGGGCTGGGGATTTAGCTCAGTGGTTCCACCACCTGCCTGGCAAGCACAAGGAACCCAATTCGATCCAGGTACCAAAAAACAAACAAACAAAAACAGGGCAGGCTCAGGTCATAACCATGTTTTCTCCTCTCTGCTCCTATCCCAAATGACTCATTTAAGAGAACAAAAAAGTTTACAAGTTTACATATCAATTTAAATTTAAAAGGGCAAATGTAGAAACTATCAGAGAAGCAGAGCAAAAGAAGCATTTAAAATGTTACAAAAATAAGCACCTCCATCCAATTTTTTTAACATTACAGAAGAAAAATACTGCCTGCATTTACTATGCACAACTCGTGATCCATAAATACAACTCAAAATCCACATGCTTTTCTAAAATATACTCAATTTCAAAACTAAAACTAAACAGTAGTTACAATCATAGACTCAAGTCTGATTATTATATTTATTTGGTCACTTATTAGCTAGAAGGAAAAATCTTAATTATGTTCCTTCACTGTAATATTGGAAAACAACTGTATGTGTAGTCCAGGTAGTGTACTCAAGGTAGCTCAGTGGTAGAGTTCCTACCGTATGTGAAGCTCTGGATTTGACCTCCAACACTGCAAAATAAACTAATTAACAACTAGGGATAGAACTCAGGGCCTTTCAGATGCCAGCAACAGTTCTACCACTGAGTTATACTCCCAGCTCCCAATTACATTATATTTAGAAACAATTTAAATTTTAAATCTGAAAAGATGGTGCTCCTAAGATATGTATTTGTAATACGTGTCAACCCTTACCAAATTTTTGAACTATGAAAACTGAAGTACTATTTATTACCCACTTAGCGATCACTGTGGGATTTCTATCAGACCAGCTTCCACTGATTAGGTAACCTGTGCACTGGAGAAAGAGATACAAGAGCTAGCAGAATCAAAGTATGAAAGCAAATGAGCTCCATGACCTACTCACAGACACAGACCATCCCAAAGAAGCAAAGCTCAAGGTGTTTTTAGCACAGTCTATGACCAATCTCTGGCAGATATAAAAGCAACCCTTCACACAGGTGCGCATATATATATCATTCTTTATGGCTGAATAGTATTCCATTTTATAGAAAAACTGCATCTTTTTAAAATTTTTTTAAATTTTAAATTGAATTTATTGGTACATTCTAGGTAGATAGTACAGTTACATTCATTACTGGGATCTTATACCTCTACATGCCAGGTCTTGGTTCTCATTTTTTTCCCCTTGTTCCCACCCTCCCTTCACCCCCTTACATATTCTTAAAAAACATTAAGCAGAGACGTCAGTGACCATAAATTGCAAATAAAACAGACAGACATAAATTGCAAACAAAACAGATTTGGTCCAACCATACAATTTGAACAGAATGCATGGATCAACTAAAGGATCTGAAATAGTGGCGGTCAGATAAAGGATGGCCAAATTCAAATACTGCTGACATGGTGATGATGAGATTAACCATTTCCCCTGCTTTGAAACCCCATGGACAATGTTAGATGAGCATCAGGGGACAAACAGTACTCCTGGAGAAGCCTTCTAATTCTGGTTCACAAACAGGAAAAGAGTGCAGAAATCTAACTTCCTTTTCTCTCTCACATCTCAACCTCCACACAATCCTGAGGTGGCAACCCCCAAAGGCTTACTTGACAAAATTCTGAGGGATGGCCATTTTCTTCTCTGATCATGTATGCTGCATGATCCAGGGAAGAAGAGCCAAATCCCTCTCTTTCTGCCTGTGATTCAGCACCACATGTGGGCTCAGTCATGGTAGGATGCAGCAATTCAGGTAAGTGAAAATAGAGCTTTCTGGCCACAGTACCAAAAAGAGGATTTCCAAGGAGCCAGATAGTTCTAAGGAGGAGCTCCACACAGCAGCCCCATGAACTGTTCTGACAGACTCTCATTCCAATTTCTGCTTCAGCACTAGGATAGATCTGAAGAGTACTGGGAAAGCTCTGAAAACAACTGATAC